GTCATGATGTCAGACAAGATGTCTTGACATTGTGCTGTCTGGTGTACCTTTTTACCTTGACAATGTGACTGTGGGTCTGACTTTGTGAGGCTGTTGGTTTGAACTAGGAATGTGCTTGTTTCTTGTGAATGGCCTAGGAAACAACATTGGTTATTGTCTGGGAGAATTTATGTTTCTCTGCAGAATATTTGTGTGTACATTTACTCCAACTTTTTTCAATTTTTGGCTAAAAAGGGGGAGTATATTAGTGTTATCTATTGTCCTGATGTTATGTCACATGTATTGACATAATGACCAACATTGTGATAGGACTTTGCCACTGCTAAGGAAAAAGTAGTGTTTTGTTGTTGCTTGCTGAATGCAACTATTAAGGGGGAGCATGATAGTTTGTGAGGCTGGATGTACTGGAGAAAACTGTTGTTGCTGCTCTGATAAGTTTATATCTCAAGATTCATCATGGTTTGGTTGTTTTAGCCAAAATTTTCCAAAGGGGGAGATTGTTATCTCCATGGTTCTATGATTGGATAAATTTTGGTAAAACATGATTTTACACCGATATTAAGCAAGATGTTATAACATCTTCATCAATTGTTATGACAGTACTATTGTCATGTATTTCAGACAGATGTCATGACATCTTGGTCTGGTACAGCATGCACTGCTATTTTATATCTCTTGACAGAAGTGTTTTGATTTGATGAGATCCACTTGGATATACCTCATCATTATGCGCATGTCAAGGAGATTTATTAGGAACAAAGTGCAGATTTAATTGGATTTCATAAAAAGGATCTTTGAGATTTTTTAGGAAACTATAAAATATTTGTTCCTATTTTTGTGGAGAAGATTCTGTAGAAGATTTACAATGTGAAGATTTGAAGTTTGATTTTGACCAAATCTGAGTTGGTTTTTGATCTGACCTGATCAGGAGGGATCACGGACTGGCCACACTTCGCTGGACGGTTATCTGTTCGCCGAGGTAAGAACGAGGAGGGGGTGTACCTGCAAAGCACTCCGACGCCCAAGTAAGAAGTTGGACAGAGAGGAAGCAATAGTACAGAAAAAGGGGGCAAGAAGAGTTACCTCACCCTCTTGAAGAAGAGGGTATTTATAGAGAGACCCCAGCGCTGGGCCAACGGTCATTCGAGGTGGGCCAGACGACCAGGCCCAACCCTAATGACTGCTAGGGCTTACGTGGCGTAGTGAAGACCAGGACGTGGTCTTCGCCCTAGTTCAACCGCTCCTAGGTCTCCGGAAAGTGGGTTTGACCTGCTCTTTCGGAGGTGGGCGGTTGGCCGATGACGTGTCCCCGCGGAGGGGAGCACGTGGAGAGCGTGCGCCGAGCACGCTATTCTCCCGCGGAGGGAGCCCGGGTAGTCTTGCTCGTCCGGTGTGACGGGCGACAAAAGGGGATGCGGTGTGATGGCTTGTGCCCGGCGGGCGGTCCTGCTCGTCCGAAGAGGCGTGTGCCAGGTGTGCTCAGTTCGCCTGTTGGGCCGTATTTGGTAATGGGCCTGCCGATGTGAGGCCCACACCGGAACAGTTTTAATTATGAGAAGATTTGGAGTTTGATTTGATTTGATTTAGTCAAATCTGAATTGGTGTTAATTATGAAAAGATTTGAAGAATTATCTGATTTGATTTTATCAAATTTGAGGTAGTTTTTGCTAAAGTCCAAGCCCGTACTAGAAGAGTCTATAAATAAGGACTTGCTAGACCTAAAGAATGTAGTATTCACAACAAGAGAATTGTGGGTGCAAAATAAGGGTTTAGGGTTTTGAGAGTCTCTTGTTTGTGACTTTGTAAGTCACCCTTTGTATCTTTTGATGCATCGTGGAAGACATATGTAGGTTGTATATTGTTCTTGATAGAAGTTGTTAAGCAAGATCAAGTATTGTCTTTGAAGAGTGTCTTCTATGTTTTATTAATATGTTGTTATCACTATTGTGATTGAGGGGAGTGAGAGGTGTCTCATATCTAGGAGTGTCCTAGGTAGAAGTTGCACTGGGTAGGGATTAAGTGAGGGGCTGTAAACGGGGGAGTTTAGCTCTGAATTGATACTACTGATAGTGAATTTCCTTCTTGTCTTTGTAGCCCCCAGATGCAGGTGATGTTGCGCCGAACTGGGTTAACAATTCATTGTGTTATTTATCTTTCTGCATTTAAAATTCTGCACAATTTAAATGGTTGGATAAATTGTTCTGTCAGTCTGCAAATGTTACAATGTCTGTCATGACACTGTTAATTCTTAAAGTAAATTAAAATGCTCGTATTCTGTCCTTGTTCTGTTTTTAGTAGAGATCAATGTCTCGACATCTCTTAAGACATCTGAGATCTGCATATCAGAATTTCAGTTTATTTTTATTTGTATTTTAGTAACAACAGTGTTATCTATATTTTCTAAGTAAATTATGTATCATAGTAACGTTTTTAATTAATCGATTAATGTATGAATTTGTATTATTGTTTGAATTTATATATATATATATATATATATATATATATATATATATATATATATATATATATATATATATATATATATATATATATATATATATATATATATATATATATATATATATATATATATATATATATATATATATATATATATATATATATATATATATATATATATATATATATATATATATATATATATATATATATATATATATATGATCTAAAATATAAGTTGGCCTAAAAAATATGGATATCAGGACAAACATGATGTTTAATATTGATGTTCTTTGTTCCAAGGGTCTTTCTAGATATATACTTGCAAAATATTCATTGGGTTGTGCAAAAAAAACCCATTTCATCAGCTCAATATGCTATATATATATATATATATATATATATATATATATATATATATATATATATATATATATATATATATATATATATATATATATATATATATATATATATATATATATATATATATATATATATATATATATATATATGATCTAAAATATAAGTTGGCCTAAAAAATATGGATATCAGGACAAACATGATGTTTAATATTGATGTTCTTTGTTCCAAGGGTCTTTCTAGATATATACTTGCAAAATATTCATTGGGTTGTGCAAAAAAAAACCATTTCATCAGCTCAATATGCTATATATATATATATATATATATATATATATATATATATATATATATATATATATATATATATATATATATATATATATATATATATATATATATATATATATATATATATATATATATATATATATATATATATATATATATATATATATATATATATATATATATATATATATATATATATATATATGATCTAAAATATAAGTTGGCCTAAAAAATATGGATATCAGGACAAACATGATGTTTAATATTGATGTTCTTTGTTCCAAGGGTCTTTCTAGATATATACTTGCAAAATATTCATTGGGTTGTGCAAAAAAAACCCATTTCATCAGCTCAATATGATATATATATATATATATATATATATATATATATATATATATATATATATATATATATATATATATATATATATATATGATCTAAAATATAAGTTGGCCTAAAAAATATGGATATCAGGACAAACATGATGTTTAATATTGATGTTCTTTGTTCCAAGGGTCTTTCTAGATATATACTTGCAAAATATTCATTGGGTTGTGCAAAAAAAAACTATTTCATCAGCTCAATATGCTATATATATATATATATATATATATATATATATATATATATATATATATATATATATATATATATATATATATATATATATATATATATATATATATATATATATATATATATATATATATATATATATATATATATATATATATATATATATATATATATATATATATATATATATATATATATATATATATATGATCTAAAATATAAGTTGGCCTAAAAAATATGGATATCAGGACAAACATGATGTTTAATATTGATGTTCTTTGTTCCAAGGGTCTTTCTAGATATATACTTGCAAAATATTCATTGGATTGTGCAAAAAAAACCCATTTCATCAGCTCAATATGCTATGCTTTTAGCGATTAATCTAGAGATTTACTTCCGGATTTACTTATAAAAAATACGGAAATACATATCTCTGGATATTGTTTTAACAAAAATTGGATGGATGACTCAGTTATTAAATGATGGTGTATGATTAAAGTGCATTTGAATATGCAATTTTGAAATTTGACAAAGGTATATTCGAGTTTCCAAAGGGTGGTTTTTCATCCCATGGGGTAAAAAAAGTAATGGTTAGTTGATTTTTTCTTTGTTGACAATTTTGGCCATATAGATTTTCAAAAGCCCACATCATATTTAGGAAAACAATGGCTCAAATAACATTTGTTTCTGTCTGAATTGTTTTCTTTTTTAAAAAGAAAATAGATTTTTTATATTTTTAGAAAATAGATTTTTATAACTAAAAGATTAATTCTGATATCCATTAATACAAGTAGAAAATTAAAACATCATCAAAATCACATAAGTTTTTTTAAAAATAAATTTAAAAAATTATTTAAAATAGTTTGAAGATTTTTTTAGAAAAATTTTACTATTAAAAAAACAAGGGATAAACCTAATTAGCATTTTGTAACTTTAAGGATAATTCCATAGCATTCATAATGTATAGTATATTTAACTATTAAGTTAAAACAATATTCCAATTTTAGAGATTAAGCTGGGTATTTGCTCAATTTTAAAAACAGTGCAGCCTCATAAAAGAAAGAAAACGCTTTCACTTGAAATGAAATCGTTTGTTTTTGCTTATCATAACTAAAAATTTCTGTTTCAATTGATATGTGAACTTTGCTAAATTCTATTTGCATTCACAAATTGAATGTGTGATACATTTTGTCATTACTGTAATTTTCTCCAAATACTAACCACCTATGTGAACTAAGATAAGCACAACAATATTAAGACAATGGTAAATCAAAGTTGGAGTAGCAGGGTTGCGCATATTAATATCATCATCTGAAGTTGCAGCAGCGCGCCCGACCCCTCGATAATTTGTCCCATAGACAGACCATCTGCCTTGGTGATTGGTAATGTGCGGTGAAGTAGCCCTCCATGCATCCGTACTGACAAAACTTCCAGTTGTGCGAGTACTGAACGGTGGTCATTGTATGGTTGAATCGCTCAACCCACATTCCCATGCTTACATCCTCCATTTTAAAGAGCTGCAACCAGAAACAAAAGTTAGTTACACAAATTGGAAATGGGAGGCACTAGCTATAAAATATGTAGTGGAACAAACCCTCAGCTTTCTATCCTTTTGCTGAGATAGGATGAAATCAACAATATCTTTGGAAATTACGTATGCGGGACCGTTCGCATAAGGGGGATATACTGATTCAGGCCACTCCTGCACCAATTAAATATACACATTAAGACCAAGAAAAGCTATAGATCAAACTTAAACCATTAAATGCGAAACAGTTAGTGTACCTCATAAGTAACTGCCCATTTGCCATTTCTGAGAGGCCGGTGCAAGAGATTGAGATTACCCATGTAGAGGGACTTTTCCGGGGGTACAGCTTCAATTTCCTTCAGGACAGTGTCCACTCTTATAAAGGTGTCATCATCACATTTCATGATATATGCAGCAGTCACATTCTTAGTCTGCATGAAAGAAAATTGACTTAGCCGCAAGAATCAAACACTCTGAGCAGGTTGACTGACATTAGCTGGACATATGCAACTCACCTAAACCCCTTACCAAAAATATAGAAGTAACGAAAAATTAACTGAAAGTTAAAAAATGAACTTACCCCAAACTCACAGATAGCAATGGTTTTAAGCACAACAAGCTCATAGCGGTCCATAAAGGGCAAAATGACAATATCACCAAAGTAAGCAGCCTCCTTCCTCAGCACTGCATTTACTTCCTTCCTTGGATTCTTCATTGTTGATGTTTAAAATAGACACGATGCAGAAAAATCAGGCATAACATATAAATAATACTTTTAGTACTAATATTTAGTATTTCAAATAAAATTTTGACAGCGTCCCTTTGGGATTTAACCCAAGTTTTACCCCCAAAACAAAACTTCTACAATTTCTGGGGTTGCCTTTTTCTTCTCCACGAGTTCTTACAGCAGTTCACATTTCTTCAACCCAGACTAAAGTAAAGGACATGTTTCTGTAGACTAGTATGTTCCTATGGCAGATAAAAATAAAGACAGCAGCCTTACCAATGCAACAAAGAACCGTACTACTACATCTGATGACTTGATTTCAGCTGCTTGCATCCATGTTTTACGAACTGCCATCCGTTCTGCAAAGTGATTTGAAGCAGAGAGAACTCCAATAAAAAGTCTAATTGTGTGTTTAGGTAGGGCACTGGCTTTCCAGGTCTCTGACATTTCCAGTACTCTTTGAGGTGAGAAACTTGGGTGTGAAGTAGGGAGAGAGGTAGCAAAAACTGAATGAACATCAAGGTCTCCTTTAACTGCCAATCCCGTAGCATCTTCAAGTGTAAAACCCTGATAAAGTGGAAAAATAAATCAGATGGAGAAAAATGTAAATGCAGAAGCACGGATATTAAAATGGCAATTAGATCTAAATCTTGTTGGAGTTTAAACCAAATGCAGCCTCCGACACGTGGTACAGGAGATATCACTGTCACTATTTATTATAAAATGGTTACGAGAGAGCACCACTGTATACTAAAATTCTCTGTCCATAAAAACCCAATAAAATTCAAGAGGAACTCACCAACATGAAAGTTACATGTTTTTGAAGCCTGTTAGATTGTGATTGAAGCAACCAGTATATTATTACTGAAAATGGGGAAGAGTCCCCTTTGATTACAAACAATGGCAACACTTCGAGGGTCTGCCTCCCTTAGAAGGCCAAAAGGCCCTATTTCCCTCAAATGACAAGATGATACCCTCTCTAATCCTCCTCTCTATTTATAGGTTGCATACCTCATTTAGCCTAACTACCTCTAAACAGACACACTAACTACCCATTAACTAGTAATTAACTACTTAACGAACTATTTCTAACTAACAACTTGACTAACAATAACAGACCCATCAGTAATGTTAGGAGACACGCATTGAGTAGATAAAAGTGATCAATGTGATATTCAAACCATGAGGTTCTCCCACCTAACGGACTAGTCTTTTGAATTGGGCTCTCCTCAAGTGCTTAAGTCATAACAATTAGTCCTTTCATTGAGAGTTGGCCATGGAAAGGGATACCTACAGGCTGGATTAATTAAGGTGCTCCATCGAACACTGATAGGTAAGTGAAGCAGCAAACAATGAAAGGGCTACCATCGAGTCAGTACTGGTAGAGTGTAAGTCATTGTGGACGTCGGCTTTTAAAGAGTGTAGGAATGTTAGGAATCTCACATTGAGTAGATAAAAGTGCTCAATGTAATTGTAGTATGTAAGTCACGAGATTCACCCACCTAATGGACTAGTCTTTTGAGTTGGGCTCTCCTCATGTGCTTAAACCCTATCAATCGGTGCTTTCATTGAGGTATTTAGCCTAACTACCTCTCAACAGATCCACTAACTAATTAACCAACTTCTTAACTGACAATAACAGACCTATCACAATACTATTAATATTATCTGGCTATATTAACTATATATTATGTTGATTACCTGGGGGATTGGACTGCACGTTAGTTATTGATAATTAATCTTTAACTTTGTTTCTTATTAACTGCTTCCTGAAAATCCCCTCTTGCTTACTCCATTAATTGATTGCAATCAAGTTATAAAAATGAGGATAAGAGTGTGGCTCATCAGCACAAATTTCTTTCAGTAACAATATGGTAAAATAAAAGCAACATTAGAAAACCTATCCCCGTGAAAAATGACTGTCATGAATATGCGAAACATACAAAATATGAATCCAACTATTCAGAACAAACGTGAGACAAAAACATCTCTCATATTTCAATTAACTTACTGTCCGGTATGGAAATGAAGTCATATGGCGGCCACCAACATTAATATGGTATCCATCAACACCAGCACGCAATGTAAGGACAAACATTCTACCCTCTGCAAAAGGAAAAGGCCAGGTAACTTCTGGTTTCTGCTCACGCCCTATAAACCGCTTGAACCATGATGTTGTCTTGGATTCTTTTGAGTCAGCAATGTCACTCCGCATCCATTTTTCACACCGTCTAAACCCATCAACTGCAAAGCTCGATCAAAATATTTCTCAATATTTTATTTATTACATGAAGATTAAAAAACATTTCATGCCAAAATTTAGGTTAAAGATTACAATTTATGGTACTCCATTATCATTTTCTAAGAGTTAAGATCAAATTTGATTCTATATGAAACTATAATCCTAGACTATCCTACTACATCATAATTTAGTCTGCTTGTTTCAGCACTATTAATTAACAACAAAATATGATAATATTGATACTGTAAAATTATACGAGCTGCATTAACTCATCATACTTGTTACTTTAGTCATACTTTCTCAAGATATTCTACAAACTGATAATACATGGTTGCAATGGATAGACAAAGCCTATCAAAAATATCCTAACAAAGTAATAACATCCCATGGATTTATATCAATGTAATGTAACCTGATGCCCCTGAAATGTTTATGTGATGATCATGTATCAGGCTTGATTCTATATATCAACAAAAATAATCTATAAGACAAGAGTAAGCATTACTTCTGCTGTGTTCATGTTAATAGCATACGATAAAAAATGGACAATGCTGTCTTCTGCTGTGTTCATTTTTTCATATGCTCATTTATCGTCTTCTTCCTTTTTGTTCTTATTCCATTATTTCCAAGATCATTAAATATTTTTACTTTTCATTCTACATTAACTAATTTAGTGAAGAGACTCTATTCCTCAACACCTTTCCCCCTAAAAATAGCAACCTTGAAAAATGAAAGAAGAAAAAAAAAGCACAAGAAAATGTGATAAAATCATACCAAGCATTCCGTCATCATCTTCAGATGGCCGGCCATCACATCTTTGAGCTGTTCCCCAGTGCATTCGATAACAGGTATTATGCTCAATAACTGGACGTTTGCTCCAATCCCCTTTTAGCCGAGGATTCAAGTGCAGAATTTTCGGAGGGTCTTCTCCTTCCACTGACTTCAGCCCTTGTAATTCAAACATGAACTGCGAAACTGGAACCAATCCATCACCCTGCCTCAACTTTGCAAGCTGAGCAGAATATTCCTTATGAGCATAATGAGGAGTCCCCACTACAGTGATCGAAGAACCTGCTGCAAGCCCACACGGAAGAAACATCAACCCGTCCCCTTTCAACAACTCTTCCCCACTCATCGATATCCACGAAGGGCAAGACTCGGCCTTTCCTCCCTCAACAATAGAGCTTTCTCCAAACTCCTTGTCATCAACTATCTCTATTTCTTCCCACGCCTTCAACCCCAATGTCCATGCCTCATCTGCCATTTTCCCAAGCACAGATAATTCACTTGTTCGGTTCATTTTCAGCATGGTTTCTCCAGTAATCCTACCATATCCATGTGGAATATCCTTCACAGATTCACGGTCACGGTCCTCCTTCTTCGGTTCCTCTTTTGGCCTCAAGGGAGCATCTAAGTCCCTATTATCCTCCAACTTCCTATGAAATGCATCTTTATAAACAGCACTAACAAAAGGTTTGGTCAAATCAGCATCTTCAGAACCCCCAATAACTACCCCATCTAACCTAATGTCACTCTCATCATCCCCACTTAAAGTTGATACAATCTTCAGAAACTTTGTAAAATTACATGATAGAAAAATCAAGTACAAAACCCCAACACCAAACAAAAAATGAGACAACCTAAACTTCCTAGAATTAGGAGATTCATTTTTCAATCTCTTCATCTTCCAAAAAAGCCAATAACAATACACAAATATACTCTACAACTACAACAGTTTCTATACAAGCCAAAAAATTCAAAATGGGTTTTTCGAGAAAGAATGGAAAGAATGAAACTTGAACAAAGGAAAGCAAAATGAATCAACCAACCCCGCAATGGTTCAGCGAATTGGGGCAAAAACCATTGCAGAACCCTGAATCGTTTAGCATGTGTAAGGAAGCATCTGAATGAAAGGAACCCTAGAAATGGAGGTATGGAGGAGATGAAGAATGTAGTGGTGAGATCTTGTTGGATCGTGGTGGGAGAAACCGATAGAAATGGAAAGAAATGGAGAAGAAAACGACTATGTGGCCCTCAAAATCATCACCATGGTGTTGCAACTCTATACTTTCAAAGGAAATGAAAATATTTTTATTTGTAATCACATTAATATAAAGAAATGGAGGACTAAAGTTTAATTTTGGGATAAATCAAAAATAAATTCATTCATTTAAATTATTGCTAAAATAATTTAAAACAACATAAATTCAATCATTGATATCATATACCTTTTTGGTCATTCTTTTGCAAATAAAAAAAAAATGTATTTAATTTTGTATGAAAATAGAAATAATTTTATTAAAAAAATATTTGTTAATAACATATTAAAAATTTAGAATGATTGAAAAAATAAAGTGATTTGCACGTCAGAGAATAATGTCCAATTTCTAACCATTCAAATCTAATTTAAATTCTTCATTATGAGATATTTTATTTTATTTTCTCACTCTAAGATTATGTTTCTCCTAATTACTAAATTCAATTCTTACCGCAACTCTAATTTCAATTTATTGTAAGATTTCGAAATTTCTCATAAGTAATTTTAAGTTGATTGAAATGAAATGAAATTGAGTAATATTTAAGCAGATTTAATTGGTTGGATTTAAGAATAAATTGATAGTGAGTTAATTTTTATTTTTTTAATTTAAGGTGTATGCAATAAATGAAATAATTTAGGATGTTTTAATCAACTTATTTCGAGAGTAAGTTTTGTTAACTTACTCCACATTATAGCCTTTAAATTAAATTAAATTTAATGGTTAAATTAGTATTTTTACTTATAACCGTTCGATTAAATCTAATTTAAAGCCTACGATTGTGAAATAAGTTATAAAAGCTTACTCTTGGAGTAAGTGGATCCTCACTGTATGTGTGTGTGCGTGTTTGTGTGTGGTAGTGATTATCATTGAATTAATAAACACATATAAACTTCTTGACCAACCCAAGGGTGTGGGTGCCATCTCCACCTCTCGAACCATGAGGGGAAATGTCACGGGCCCGATGACGATAATTTTTTGGAATCTGTGTGCCCTGGTGTTGTTAGATGGCGTCACCGAGAACTGTATTAGGCGTAGCCTCAAGGCCGCGCCACATTGTAACATATCAAATCATGTGACATCTCACGATAAAGCTTTTTGTTGATTTTCTTTTACACTTAAGTGACTCACATTTAAAAGGTGTGTATTATGGAGATGCACCAGGTTGTAAATGCTTGTTACGAGTTCATTTACTTCTTGCATCCCTAGTGTGGCTTGAACTTGTTAAAAGCACTAGAACATTTTTTACTCAGATGTTTGCGTTACCGGTTTCGGTTGTTTAGAAGTTTGTCCTTGGAGTAATTTCTGAAAAGGTTTGAAGGATGGTAGGACCTGGAAGGTTCCCATGCCGACTGATGGAGGAACCAGACCCAAGGAAGTTGAAGGGGTTAGAGATGTTACTAAAACTGGACCACCTCCCATAATAAAAGGAGGAACCTCATGAATGGAGGCGAGGACTTGCACTATGGCTTTGACCTCATGACCGTTGTTGCCATCAGTGGCCAGCCTAGTTGATTTGGAAGTTACCAATGTTGATTAAGAAAATGCGTGACGATCTAATTGATCGATAAGAAGGATTGCAACGACGCAATGGAATGGATTTGAAGAATTCGGCGTGGAATTTTGTGAGAATAAAAAAATGTTTTCCATGAATATTGATAGTGTATTGATAAAATTTGTTGTAGAAACTCTTTGGTACGGTAATGCAAGTCTCCCATAATGTAAGTGGGAGACTATTGGATTGGATTTGAGAGTTTGAAATGAGCTCGTGACTTGACTCTAGTGTGTTGCCTTATGGTGAAAGCCCACTTGTTCTTCAATCTAGAATGAGAGTATTATAGATTGAACCTTTTGTATTAGATCAGTTTTATTTGACCATTTGACCGACCTAAATGAAACAGTGATGTCATATAAAATAGAGAAATATTATAATGATTATAAGTAATGTAAATATATATTGTTTTGAAATCATTTTTTCTTAAAGTATAAAATTTTACAAATTGTTGATTAAAAAAAAATCATTAATCTAGTAATTAAAAAACATTTAGAACCAATCACCCAAAAAATCATATTGAAATCCTTCAAATTGTTAATGTACCATGATAGATACTCCCATATTTTAATGTGGATAACAGGATTATGTAGTTTTTTCAACAAAAAAAAAAACATAACTTATTGTACAAGAAACATATTTATCTCCGGTTGCTTCAACTACTTTCATGATTTGGATTTTCATTCATAGAGGATGATGTATTTACATTATCTGATTCTTTAGAATTTGAATACTCTGTCTTTCTTCTAAATCCAAACTTTTTTGGAAAAATGCTCCAACCTTTCTTTGTTTTATTTAACTTCTGAAGCTCTTTTCGAATGCATGAACATTCCTTCTCCAACTCTAAAAGTCGTTCCCTCACATTTTCAGTTCTCTCTGCAGAATCCTCTTGACAAGTCTTGGGTAATCTAAGATTTCCACTAGGATTTTGTGAGTTTTCGAGGTTTTCAGAAACAAAAAACCAACCAGATATCGATGTTCGAAGTCTAAGTTGCTCGAAAAAAAGGACTTGAACAAGTACTCTTAGAGGTAATCTTTCATTTTGTGCTGCATGTGAACTTGCTTCCAATGATAGCTTTTGGCAATTCATGAGTCTACATAGTTGCTCCCTTTCTGAGTCTCTAAGCCATGTATGTGCCTGCAAATTTTATAAGAATCACTTAACCTCAATATAGTATCATAGCTTATCAATTATTGATCTGCTTAAATTATCTAACCTTAAGATATACATCTATTGCATGGTATATACCATCATCAAGAGGCCTAGCATAATCAGGAACTGCCACAGCAAGTGCCTGAAATTTAGACAAGTTCAGATTAGTATCTGAAGCGACTTCGGCGAGATATCCATCTATCAAGGAAGCAACCATTGTGATCGGTGTCAATGTATCGGTGCCAGATATCAATGCACTAACTTCAGTTATACAAGGAGAAGCCGCCAGCGAAGCAGGCTGGTAAATAGACATAAAATGATCAAGAATCCTCTGAATACAATCTATATCGTATAGCGTCTCAACGGAGTATCCCATATTCGGAATTAGTAGATCCACAAGGGAAGCTTGGTCTAGTTGAGCTCCAACTCTTTTCTCTAAATTCTCTTTACATAATGGACTAGCATGTAATATCATCGCAGTACGGAGTAATCGAAGGAGATGCTTAGAAGATGTAACACCTCTCTTATTCGGAATCAACTCAACAATCTCTTCTAATAAACCTCTTTGATCAGCTTCTGTAGTGGTAGGAATTGTTGCATGATTTGTATCTTTGAAACTTGACTGTCTATTCATTAATGGAAGAAACCTTCTGAGATAATATATAAGAGATGCAGCAACAGTTTCAGATTTCATTCCTTTTGATTCAATAGCCAAAATCAATCTTTTATACAATGGTAAACTCAAATAAGACACATCATAGTACCACCAATTATCACTAACATTCTGCGGCTTACTCTCAAAAGAAACATCATTCAAAACCTCATTTTGATCTTGTTGATTACCACCTGTTTGCGGCCAGTTAAGCGATTCAGGATCCGAACACGCCTTCATCGCCAAGGAATCTATACATCTCGAAACAATATGGAGCTCTTCTGCAAAGTTTTGCACTTCCTCGCATGTTTCAAGAGCCTTAATCGAATCGGGCCAATTGCTAAAAACTTCATTCAGAAAAGATTCTGTGTGTCCAATAAGATTATCTTCGCCATAGTTTTCGGTCATTTGGAGATACTCCGCTGCACATCTTAGACTAACTACATTCAACGATGAGATTTCGAGTTTCACACCGTAACAAAACTTTGTTATTAGCTCAAAAGTTTTTGCTCCACCAGGAACATCATGAAGTTGTATAACACAATCATCATTTGTTGATTCTGCAATCATTTTCTTTAGGAGTCCACTTCTAGAAAGCAATGGAAACTGCATCAAAATCACGATTTAATAAAAAAATTAAATAAATTGTTTTTGAAACAAAAAATGTATATGCAACAAAAGTACCTTATGAAGGAGAAAAGAAATTTCGCCAACTTCAATGGTAACATCACTTGGAAGTCCTGTTGTACAAATCCTTAAAGCAAAATAAGATTAATGTCAATTATTATCCAATGATTGATGGAATGTCAAATAGATTCAAGGTTATATTTGGTATAAGAACATCAACATGGATAGTAATAACGAAAAAAAACACGCATAATGTTGATGTCATGTGAAATAAATGCTGACCATGTTTGGCCTTCACGACGAAAAGCTTCAGGTTTTGATCCAAGTTTCATGAATGCCATTACATGAATATTTATTTATTTATTTATTTGGAGGTTATTTTGTTTGAAGAATGGTTGAAGAAATTGAGGCAAGAAAATGAGAGGAGAAAAGAGAAAGAGAAAGATGGAAGTGAATGTGACATGCTCCACACATTCACAAGTGGTGACTCTACGACCTAATAACTCAAACAACGACAAAACCGGTTACGTGTATTTTCTATATCAATTTATTATTATTATTATTATTATTATTATTATTATTATTATTATTATTATTATTATTATTATTATTATTGTTGTTGTTGTGTTCATTTTTGCCATTTTAATCTTTTAAGCTCTTTGGT